ACAAGCGTTCTGTTTTGGAACACCTTGCGTAACTCGAATTTTGCGTAAGTTGGAAATGTATCTCCGACCATTACGCAAAAAAACAACAACCCCAAAACAGACAAACAAACAAAAACCCCTCCTATTTCTAGCTTAGGGAACTTTTTCCATAAGTGCGGATTTGCGTAAGTCAGGTCTTGCGTAACCCGGGGAACGTCTGTATAGCTTGCCTACAGTAGCTGCAGACCTCTTTTACCTTGTTTCACAATACTCAGCACATTCTGGCCTGAAAGAGTGTTTCCTCTTGAGGTTGTTTATGTTTGTCTGTTTGGTTTTTAAATATCTATTTTACTATTTGATTCCCTAACTTTAATTAGGATGGCTGGCCTTCCTCCCTGAAAGAGGAAGTATTCCCTTTGTGGAGGTCTGGGTATGTATGACTAGAGGAGTCAGTGCATGTCTATGGCCTGGAGTTTTCTGCATGGATTTGCCATGCTGCACTCTGTGAGGGTGAGCAGGGGACCTGGGTGCTGAGGATTATCCACTGTGCTTCACTCTGTGAAGATGAGCAGGGGAACCGGTTCTGAGCATTATCTGCCCTCCTGCCCTCGGTGAAGAGGAGAAGGGATGATATTATTCTTTTCTTTCCCCTTTGGGAGTTTGTCCCCATAATACTGCTTCAGACGGGGGAGCAAAACTGGGCTGAGAGACTGTTCCAAAATGTATTTCTGGTGGCTACCAATCTCCCTGTCCTTAAAGATGCTCGTCTTATTTGTCTCCCTCTCCCATATAAGCCTCTTCTGGGTCTCTCAAAGATAGGCTCTCCAGATGTTCCACCCATCTCTATTGCATGGCATGTACATGGGCCAGAGAGGTCTCTGTTTCTCTGGGAGGTCTCAGCGTGGGATATAAATTGGAATTTCAGGAGGACATGGGGCTTTTATAGAGGTGACACTGGGGCAGGAAGCTAGGCCTGTAGGCTCCTTACTGTGCACTCTGCTATTGACTGTGTCCATGCTGTGTCTTTGTGCCCCCCACCACAGTCAGAGGTGTGGCTGCTGGTGTGGGCTATGCGAATTCAACCATGGTCATCCATTTGGCGCGCTGCCCTTCTAGTGTCACTTCCCTTATGGAGATGGGGAAACAGAGGCTGCTGGCCCTGAGCTAGGGTTGCCAGGTGTCCAATTTTCGACCGGAACGCCCAGTCGAAAAGGGACCCTGGTGGCTCTGGTCAGCACCGCTGACTGGGCTGTTAAAAGTCCAGTCGGCGGTGCAGTTTTACCTGCCTTCTCTGGCTCTGCGCGGCTCCCGGAAGTAGCCGGCATATCCCTGCGGCCCCTAGGTGCAGCGGCGGCCAGGGAGGCTCCCCGCACTGTCCCCACCCCGAGCGCCAGCTCCACAGCTCCCATTGGCTGGGAACCTGCTTGATTGCCAGAGCCTACAATGAATTGTGGGTCACTCAGGTATATCACTTTACTTGCAGATTTTACATGGAAATCAGTGAGACAAAAAGAACCCCACTTTTAAAAAGATAAAATATGTGATTTCTGTAAAAGGAGGCCAGCAATTTAAAGAAAATTTCTCTCAATCTAATACAGTATGAATGGCACAAAATGGCTCTTTCAGTGGCATCAAAGATTGGTCTGAAGTAAAAATATTGTTCGGACACCATATTTCCACTTTATTTTTATCAAGTCAAAATAGAATTGTAATATAAAATTTAGTAAGCCAAGTCACACACTTAAAATACTGCACTTTGTGAAAAGTCAAAAATCACTCTTTAAAATTACATATCTTGGTATTTATATGCTCCCCATCACCACAGTATCTAATATTTACAGTGATAAATTGGAAACATCACAAATCATCAACTGATACTGTAGCTAATGTCTTTTAGAAAGCTTCACATTGCTGGGGATAAAGCTGCTTTCTGCTGCCTCTATACTGAGTGTGTAGGCAGTGTAACAGAGAAATCCTGCAAGGACTCTAGAATATTTTAAGGCTAGCCGTATGTGCAAAGTCCAACAGAAATATCCTAATAGGTGTCTTTAGGTCTCATTCTGCTATTTTTTGCTTACTCGTGTGTTTCTTGATCTATACCATACATCTCCTAAATAGTTCAGAAAGCAAATATACTTCTAGGTGTTTTCTATCAAGACAGGTGCAGAATACCAAATAAGGTAAGGATTGTATGTAATTGCCAGTTTCAAATCTGCAATAACCTGGAGAAACACCTGCTCATACAAGCACCCAATTTAATAGGTCTGTAATCTGCTCCTTTTAAGTATATAGAAGATCTGGTTGTCTAAATGTTAAAAATTAGGGCTGTCGATTAATCGCAGTTAACTCACATGATTAACAAAAGAAAATTAATTGCAATTAATCACAGTTTTAATTGCGCTGTTAAACAATAGAATACCAATGGAAATTTATTAAATATTTTGGATGTTTTTCTACATTTTCATATATATTGTATTCTGTTTTATAACTGAAATCAAAGTGTATATTATTTTGGATTACAAATATTTGCACTGTAAAAATGATAAACAAAAGAAATAAAATTTTTCAATTCACCTCATACAAGTACCATAGTGCAATCTCTGTCATGAAAGTGCAACTTACAAATGTAGATTTTTTGTTACATAAGTGCACTCAAAAACAAAAGAATGTAAAACTTCAGAGCCTACAAGTCCACTCAGTCCTACTTCTTGTTCAGTCAATCACTAAGACAAACTAGTTTGTTTACATTTATAGGAGATAATGCTGCCCTCTTCCTATGTACAATGTCACGAGAAAGTGAGTACAGGCATTTGCATGGCACTTTTGTAGACAGCACTGCAAAGTATTTACGTGCCAGATAGGCTAAACATTCATATGCCCCTTCATGCTTCAGCCACCATTCCAGAGGACATGCTTCCATGCTGATGACGCTTGTTAAAAAAAGTGTGTTAATTAAATTTGTGACTGAACTCTTTGGGGGAGAAATGTATGTCCCCTGCTCTGTTTTACCCGCATTCTGCCATATATTTCATGTTATAGCAGTCTCGGATAATGACCCAGCACATGTTGTTCATTTGAAGAATACTTTCATTGCAGATTTCACAAAACGCAAAGAAGGTACCAATGTGAGATTTCTAAAGATAGCTACAGCGCTCCACCAAAGGTTTAAGAATCTGAAGTGCCTTCCAAAATCTGAGAGGGATGAGATGTGGAGCATGCTTTCAGAAGTCTTAAAAGAGCAACACTCTGATGCGGAAGCTACAACACCCGAACCACCAAAAAAGAAAATCAACCTTCTGCTAGTGGCATCTGACTCAGATAATGAAAACGAACATGTGTTGGTCAGCACTGCTTTGGATTGTTATCGAGCAGAACCTGTCATCAGCATGGACGCATGTCCACTGGAATGGTGGTTGAAACATGGAGGGACATATGAATCTTTAGTGCATCTGGCACGTTAAATATCTTGCAACACCGGCTACAACAGTGCCATCAGAATGCCTGTTCTCACTTTCAGGTGACATTGTAAACATGAAGCGAGCAGCATTATCACCTGCAAATGTAAACAAACTTGTTTGTCTGAGCAATTGATCGAACAAGAAGTAGGACTGAGTGGACTTGCTGGCTCCAAAATTTTACGTTGTTTTATTTTTGAATGCAGTTTTTTTGTACATAATTCTACATTTGTAAGTTCAGCTTTCATGATAAAGAGATTGCACTACAGTACTTGTATTAGATGAATTGAAAAATACTATTTCTTTTGTTTTTTTACAGTGTAAATACTTGTAATAAAAAATAAATATAAAGTGAGTACTGTACACTTTGTATTCTGTTTTGTAATTGAAATAAATATATTTGAAAATATAGAAAACATCCAAAATATTTAGATAAATGGTATTCTATTATTATTTTACAGTGCAATTAATCACGATTACTTTTTTAATTGCTTGACAGCCCTATTGAAAATATTAATAGGAAATATTTATGTGTATTGTATTATGCACAGCAGCCTCACAATAGCTTGGTGTCAGCTATTTTTCAGGTTCAGTATAAATGCTCTGCTATTTACAAAGAAAAGAGAGAACAGAATAATACACAAATTACTAGGGGCTCAATCCTGCATCAGAGAACCCAATAGATTTTGCCATGGATTTCATAGAATCATAGGATTGGAAGGGACCTCAGGAGATCATCTAGTCCAACACCCTGCTCAAAGCAGGACCAATCCCCAGACAGATTTTTATCCCAGTTCCCTAACTGGCTTCCTTAAGGATTGAATTCCCAACCCTGGGTTTAACAGGCCAATGCTCAAACCACTGAGCTATCCCTCTACCCAATGGGAGCAAATTATTTTCAATGCAAGCCTAGATTTTCATTTTATTTATTTTAGGTTCTGTAATGTGGTACCTGGATGTAAACAATATAGTCAGGTATTATATTGCATTTATAGCTAATTTATTGCTAATAAAAGCAACATTAATCTCCACAAAATCATAGAATTGTGTGTATATATATATATATATATATATATATATATATATATATATATATATATA